TACAGTGCAATGAGGCAAAGGCAGCAGCGGGGTGCTGCTGATTTGGGCAAGGGGGAGATGCTCTTGACTTGCTACACCGACGCTAGCTTCAACAGTGTGAAGGCGGATGGCACCAGCATTGGAGGCTATGTGTGCCTGTTTGGAGGTGGTGCAGTGAGCTGGCGCAGCAAGAAGCAGAACGAGGTGGGGCTGTCCTCGTGTGAGACAGAGTACATGGCCCTGCATCATGGGGCAAAAAAGGTGGTGTGGCTGAGGCGTTTGTTGGAGGACATCGGTGTTGGTCAGGGGGTGACGACTGTGATGTTCTGTGACAATGAGTCGGCAGTGAAGTTAGCCAAGAATGGTTGTCTTCATGGGCTGACCAAACACATCAGGCCTAAGTGGCATTGGGTGAGGAGGCTCCTAGACAAGGAGGTGCGGCTGGAGATTGTGAAGACCCATCAGCAGGCGGCTTACATTCTCACCAAGCGCCTGGCAGAACCTGAGCATTGGAAGGGCATGAAGCTTGCTGGGATGAGTGTGCATTGAGAGTGCATGTTTGAGCTATGGCATGTGGCATGATGGTAGGCAGCCAGCTGGGGAGTTTGTTTGTGATGCTATCATTTGCACTCACGTCTGTCTGCCTCCCATCATATGTTCGTGCGTTGCATGCGTGGTGTGAGCGTGTGCAAGAACTTGTGTTTGGTGTGGTTTGGATTCTCTGAGTGTGTGTGAATATTATTTGGCTTGAGAAGATATCTGAAGTGACTCCTCTTCTCAAGAGCTTTCCGACGAACCAAGAATCGTTGCGATCTGAGCAAGAACGACGAAGTTATAATCGTTCGAAGTTTTGATTGGGATGCGACGACTTTGGGAAGTTGTGAAGTGACTCAATATGGGGTACATACTTTTGGGGGTTGGGAAATTCGTCCCCATCACTGTAGATGCTGCGAAATGGTTGAGAGAAACCAAATTGGGTTGGCAAGTGTGGCCAACTTGGGTGAGGTGGATTGTGGAGGTTGAGAAAGTGACAAATGTCAAAGTTGGGGTGCGTATAGAGAGAAGAATTGTGTGGCATGGGGTTTCCCTGGTTGGGGACTCTCTTGGGACCTTCCCTCTCGTCCTCCTCATCCTCTCCTACCTGGTTCTTGCTACTCTAATCCTCTTTCGTGAGACTTGTGTAAAACAATTGTGATTGAGTGAACTTTCTATGGCAGCATACCCCCTAGAGCGCCGAAATTCATAACTCAAGAAACACTTCACCTTATTGTACGATTCAAATTGGGAATTGTAGCCACAGACCAGGGCTACTACATATCTGAGGTTGGTGAAGTTTTGACAGTGAATGTTTCCGTCGACGGCGTTTCTTGTGAACTCGACTTTTCTGTCCAGAGTTATAGACCAACGATTTTGAGATATTTCGGCCCCTAAATCTTCTAGACTCCGTCCTTAGTGTCTAACATTTTTTAGCACTCCTCAGATTTATTGGCGAAAAAAGTTGGACTTTTGACTGTCAGATCGAACCACATCTCAACTTTGGATCGACTTTTTTCTCAACGACCGAGATCGGGCGTACAGATTCCGTGTTCAACAATTCTGCGGTCGATTCGATCCGCAGTCAGTCGACCAGCGCACAAAATCATTTTTTCTTCGTCGCAAATCGTCCTGTAAATCGCCAAATGGAGGAGATTGGTGATAATTTCATACAAGCAATTACGAAGTTACGCACCGACCTGGACCAGACGTGAGCAGCACTCCAACGATTTGAGGCGTTACTTGCGAACCAGTCGGCAGCCGCCACGGCAGCAGCGAACGCAACAGCGATGACGGCGACACCAACAACTAATATCTGCGACAACGGCAGCAGCGAAGCGGGGGCAACAAGAGGCGTTCGATCCTATAGTTAAAGGGAGCAACGCCCGTCGGTTTGTAGCTGAACTCAAAAGTTACTTCGAAACCATTGGATTCACGACCCCCACCCAAGACGTGATGCGCATACGGCTCGCAGCAACATTGTTACGAGGCCCAGCTCTATAGTGGAATAACAACAAAATTGAACAAGGCGAAGGGACGTGGGCGCAATTTCGGGCAGCACTGATCGAACTGTTCGACGCGTTGAACTGTAGCTTCTACGGAACACGACGCAACCGGCCAAAAGGGGATTTTGGCACGGATAGATCGACACCACCCACGACTGCCGACCCGATGGAGATCGATAAGGGCGATGCGAAGCAGCGGCTAGCAAAAAATGAGATGTGCGAATTCTGCGACGCTACACGACATTCTATCTTGGCGTGTTGGAAAATGAAGAAAGGAGGTGCGGAGTTGAAGGGCAAGAACAGTGCGGCACCCTTTAAGCAGAAAACAGACAACGTGGCGACTTCGGAGAGGGCGAAACAAAGGAGAATATGATGGCAAGAATTTAAAACGTCACGACCAGCAGCCACCAGGGGAAATAGCCGAGACAAAAGGAGACTCCGCGAAATAAAACCCTGGACCGAACGGGGAACTCCAACCGTACACTCCGACAAGTAAGAATTCGTTAAAGTTATTCCATAAAGATACTTTAACCAAGAATATTTAACGATCGGGAAACTCCAACCGTACACCCGAAACCATACTCCCGTGCCCCTGCTGCTGACCCGGCTGCTGCTGCTGTTGCTGCTGCTGCTGCTGCTGCTGGTGGTGACCCGGCTGTTGCTGCTGCAGCTGCTGCTGGCCCGGCCGCTGCAGAGAAGGGGGAGAGTGAGAGGAGGAGGGAGAGGGGGGAGGGGGTGCAGCTGAGTGGGCGGGGGAGGCGGGCGCGGCAGGGTTGTAGACATTGGTAGAGGAGGACGGAGGGAGCGGAGCGGCAACAGGGGGGAGGAGAGGAGCAGGAAGGAGGAGAGGAGGGAGGACAGTGTCGGTCCAGGCGAGGGGGCGAAAGGGAGGAGGGAGGGGGTCAGGAGGAGGAGTGGAGTAGTAGGGAGTGGACTCGTCGAAGACGACGTCAATGCTGCGGATGAGGCGGTTGGTGGGAAAGTGGAGGAAAAGGTAGCCTGGGGAGTCGCGATTGTGCCCGAGGTACGCACTCCAGGGCACGAGAGGCGAGCTTGCCTGCGGCGCGGGAGCGATCGGCCGGTGGGATGAGGACGAAGAACTTGCACCCCCAAACGCGAAAGCCGGCCGCGTCAGGCTTGGCCTTAGACCAGAGTTCTGTGGGGGAGGAGGAGGGATGCTGAGGGTGGGAGCGGAGATTGAGGAGGAGGGCGGCATGGAGAAGGGCATAGCTCCAAAGGGAAGGAGGGGTGGAGGCGTGAGCAATGAGGCAACGGGCAATTTTGGTGATTTCTCGAATGCGACTCTCAGCAATGCCATTTTGCTGAGGGGAGTGGGGGAGGGTGGAGGTTTGCTGAATGCCATGAGTTTTGCAGAAGGTGGCGAGGGTGTTGTTGATAAACTCACCCCCACCGTCAGAGTGAAGGCGGCCAATGGGGCGTTTGAAGTGGGTGCGGCATTGCTCAGCCCAGTTGATGACCACAGCCGGCACCTGGTCTTTGGTGTGAAGGAGTAAGACAGTAGAGTACCGACTGTGGTCGTCGACGAGGACGAGCATGTACCGGTGCCCCTGACAGGAGCGGATGGGATAGGGACCCCAGAGGTCCATGTGGACAAGGTCAATGGGAGTGGCAGCAAAGGTGGGATGGCTGTGATGGGGGGACTGTTTGAGCTTGCCATGAATGCATGATGGGCATGGGGGAGCAGGGGAGGAGGGGAGGGGAGGTAAGGTGGGAGGGAGGCTGTGAAGGAGGCGAGAGGTGACGGTGGTGCGAAGTGCGGCGAAGTTGGGATGGCCGAGTCTGTGATGCAAAATGACTGCTGGGTGGGAGAGGGCAGTAGAGGAGGAGGGGGATGGGGTGGGAGAAGAGGCGGGGAGGGAGAAGGAGGGGGGTGAAGTAGGGGAGGAGGATACCTGAGGGGGAGGGAGAGGGGAAGGAGGACCGGTGGAAGTTCCAGCACGAGTGGTAACATGACAGAAAGAGGGACGGGGTGTGCGGAGCGTGTGAAGGCGACTGCGAGGGCAGAGGGGAATGCGCAGAAGGAAGCGATCACAGTAAGTAGCGAAACCAGGGTAAATGGCGGTAATACCGACACCTTGGAGCTCTCGGTGAGAGAGGAGGTTGTTGCGAAGAGTAGGTATGCGGAGACCTGTGACCCTACCGGAGGGGAAAGCAGTGCAAGGGAGGGTGGAGAGGTGAGTGCATGGGATGGAAAAGCTGGAGTCAGCACCATGAACCTGGGTGGGAAGTGGAAGGGGGGTGAGGGTGCCAGCGTCTTTGAGTGCAGTTTTAGTGGCCCCACTGTCAAGGACAAAGTCCAAGGTGGGGGAGGAAGGAGGGGGAGGTGACACGGGGTACTGGAACGACGTCTCATTGATAGCAGAGGGATACATGGAAGCGACGGATGGTGCAACAGCAACATGACCAAGGAAGCTGCCCTGGGAGTCAGGGACACTAGGGGGGGCAGAGGGGATGGAACCCCAGGGGGGGGAGCAAGGGAGGCATGAGCGGCCATGGTCGCTGTGCCGAAGGTCATCGGCTGCTGCTGCCACTGCGGCGGAAGGTACTGTGGCGGCTGCTGCTGCTGGAAGAACTGCTGCTGCGTCGGCTGCTGCGGCTGGAGAAATTGCGGCTGCTGCGGCTGGAGAAACTGCGGCTGCTGCTGCTGCGGGAAGTACTGCTGCTGCTGGTGCTGGTGCTGCTGAAACTGCTGCAGCTGGGAAGGGGGGGAGGGGGTGAGCATGCGGAGGTGAGCGGGGAGGAAGGAGGGGAAGGTCTGAATGTCGACGAGGGAGGGGCGAGGGATAACACTGTTCCAGCGAGGAGGGTTACCAGTGTTGCCGCGGTCGAACCAGGCGTCATCAAGCGCCTTGAAGCATGTGGCAGGGGGTTGGTTGGTTTGACCACACGAGGTGCCGGCGTGAGGACCATGACGGCGAACGTACGTGCAGGGGGGGAGGGTCCCAGGGCGACCACCGCGGCTCACAGCTCCACTGGCACCAGAGGAACCTCCAGGAGTGGTACCACCAGGACCACCACCACCACCACCACCACGGCCACTGCGGCCACCACCGCCACCACCCCGACCACCACCACCACCGCCCCCCCCCCTCCACGACCTCCTCCGCCGCCGTTGCGACCACCCTGGTTGCGGGGCTGCGTGGCATTGAGGGAGGTGGAGGAGGAAGGAGTGGTGGTGAGGTTGACAATGGGGGTGCGGAGCTTGACCTCCGTGTCAATGATCCACTGAGTCACCTCGGTGAGGCCAGCCAAGGGGTTTGCCTCGGTGAAGGCGTGCAGGCGGGACTCGTAGTCCGACGTGAGGTTGAAGAGCAGGCGGTGGATCTGCAGGGGCTCGGAAAGGGCAGCCTTGCGAGCGGCAAGGCGATCGTCTACCTCCTGCATGCGCCCCACGTAGTCGACTGCGCCGTCGCAGGTGGCGAGAGTAATGGAGAAGTACTCCTGGAAGAGAACACTGACGGAGCTGATGTCGCGGCGCTCAAACATAGACTGAAGCTCGTTCCAAATCAGGTGAGCTCGCATCTCACGAGATTGGAAGCAGCGCATGAGGGCGTCGGGGAGTGCACCGAGGAGGATCGTGCAGGCGCGGTTGTCGGCAGCGGCCCAGGCGATGTTGTTGGGGATGTAAGTCGCCATGGAGGTGTTGTATTCTGCAATCAGCGCCAGGCGAGTGGCACGCTCCGATGATGCAAATTCGTGGTTGAGCATAGCAACGTCATGGTCGGCTTTGCGAATGAGGTATTCGCGGCGGTTGTGGAGGAAAGTGGCGTCCGCATCAGCCTGGAGCTCGGAGGTAGCGGCCACGTCGAGGGTGGGCTCAGGAGGAGGGGGGCCAGGAAGGGGAGGGAGAGGAGGAGGTTCGCCAGGGTGATTGGGTGCGACCGGCTGGAGAGCCTGCGGACGGCGGAGGAGAACGTCAAGGACGCAGTAGGGTCCGACGAAGGCGTCCTGAAGGACGCGGCGAATGCTGCCGACAAACGAGTGTCAGTTGTTGGCGGAGCGATCTGCAGCAAGCTGCAGCTTGTCGACTGAGGAGGCGTCGATGGGAGGGGGGAGAGGAGCAGGAGGGGTGATAGCCATGGTGGGCGGCGGCGTGTGGACCCGCGGCGGCCAAGGGGGAGACGACGGCGGGTGGACCCGCGGCGGTCAAGGGGGAGGCGACGGCGGGTGAACCCGCGGCGGCCAGGGGAGGGGCGGGGGGGGGAGGGGGGGGGGGCGCTGCAGCTGGAGCAGGTGCACTCCGCCGGCTGCTGCAGCTGCTAGACTTCTCCGGCTGTTCCTGCTGCCGCCGCTGCCGCTGCTGCCGCTGCTGAGGAGAGGGGAGGGGGAATGAGGATGCAGTCACGGGCGCGGCTGCCGCTGCTGGCGCTGCTGCTTCTGCTGCGAGGAGAGGGGAGAGGAGGAGGGAGAGGGGAGGGGGGGGGGAAAGGAGGATGCAGTCGCTGCTGAGGCTGCTGCCACTGGTGCCGCTGCTGCCACTACTCCGCTGCCGCCGCTGCTGCCACTGTTCAGCTGCTGCCACTGTTCCGCTGCTGCCGCTGCTGCCACTGCTCCGCTGCTGCCGGTGATGCTGCTGCTGCTGCTGCTGCCGTTGCTGCTGCGGCTGAAATGGCGGGGAGAGAGCGGTTAGGGGGATGGGGGGAGGGTGTAGTGGCGGCGGAGTATGCAGGGGGTGACGGGGTCGCGGCAGCGGGAAGGGCAGGCGGCGACGATGTGAGCGCAGTGGCGGAAACCGCGGGCGGCGACGGCGCTGTTACGGCGGGGAGGGGGAGTTAAGGCCTAGGCAAAACTTAGCTCTATACCATGTGAAGATTGTAAAATGAATCATTAGCTTCATTAGGAAAGAAGGGAGCATACATAGGATGCAAGAGAAGCTTGGAAGGGAAGGGGAGGGAGGTGTTGTTTGGGGGAGTAGGCCAACCTATGGCCCATAGGGGTAGGATAGCCACACTTGGAGAGTGGGCCAACCTATGGCCCATTGGGGAAAGTTGGCAACACTCGGGGAAGTGTTGCCAACCAATGGCCCATTGGGTTGGGTTGGCAACATTCCCCAAAGTGTTGCCAACTTTAGGGACCAATGGGTGCATTTGGGGGCTCCACCACACTTGGGTTGGATTGGCACCCCAAAGTGCAAGTCTACACCACAAAGTTGGGTGTAGGCCTACAAAATAAGCTACACCCAAAGTTGCGTGTAGCCCCAACCCCTTTTATACTTAGCATGATATACACACATTTCAAACACAGCAGCACCCGAAGAGTGGTCATCTTCGGGGTAGGGGAGAAGGTCTGGAAGTAGTCAACTTCCTGTCGCTGACTAAAGCCTCGTGCAACGTAACGAGCCTTGAAGGCAGGCGGAGAACCCGGCGGCCGCTTCACCCTGAAAATCCACATGCCATCGACTATGTTCGCCCCAGGAGGGGGAACTGCGTCGATGTAAGTGCCTCTGGACTTCGAGGATGCCATCTCTGCGTCCATGGCTGTCTGCCACTGAGAGGAGTAGGGACCCATAATCGCCTCTGCGTAGGAGCGCGGGGCCGGGATGTCTGGTGCATCCGGGTCTCCCTTAGGTGCAAGCAGCATGGACACGAGATGAGGGTCAGCGGCTGCAAGACACTCAAAGTCCTCCTGCCTGTCCTCAAGGACGTCCGTGCCAAGAGCACACTCACCCGCGACGGACGGAGGACAGTCAGACTCAGACTCAGCAACAAGACTAGCGGCGTACTCAAGACGACAGGCGGCATCAAAGTCAACAAGCTCAGCAACAAGGGCAGACGCAGCAGTGGACTCAAACGAAGGGTCAGTGACAACAGTGGCGAGAAGACGTGTGAGAGTAGGACTGGTAGCACGAACTAAGTCAGACTCAGGGTCCGGGCCGTCAGGAAGGGAGGACGTAGGAGGAGGCCGCAGGGGAACTCGCAGTGGAACAGAGGAAGGACGAAGTGTCATAGTGTGAGTGCCGGGCACAGGAGGAGGACGCGGACGCGGAACACGACGACCAGTGCGACCAGCGCGAACAGGCGAGGCAGGGTGAGACGCAGGCTCACGATGCTCTGTAAGAGAGTCTGTCTGCTCAGTGTAAGGGGAAGGAGCAGGCAGTGGGGAGGCTGGCTGTAACTGTGGCTGCAATTGGTCGGGCGGTGGACACAGTAGAGGTGGAGTAAGGTCAGTAGAAGACGGGAGGCCAAGAACCTGGCGAAGCAGTGGAACGAAGTACGGTCGCGGTCGCACGTTGCCTCCAGCACCAGTACCGCCAGCTCCAGCACCCCCCAGCGCCAGCACCTCCAGCTCCAGGGTCTCCAGCTCCAGTACCTGCAGCACCACCAGCACCTCCAGCAGCACCACCACCACAAGCTCCGGCAGCTCCAGTACCTCCAACACGAGCACCTCCAGGACCAGCAGCTCTAGCACCTCCAGCACCTCCAGGAGCAGCAGTACCACTAGCTCCGGCAGCTCCAGTTCCTCCAGTACGAGCACCTCCGGGATCAGCAGCTCCAACACCTCCAGCAGCACCACCACCACCAGCTCCGGCAGCTCCAGTACCTCCAGCACGAGCACCTCCAGGACCAGCAGCTCCAGCACCTCCAGCACCTCCAGCAGCAGCAGTAACACCAGCTCGAGTGCCTCGAGTGGCAGTGTCTCCAGCGGCAGCCCCCCCAGCTCCAGCAGCGCCACTCCGAAGGCGGGTGCGCCGAGCAAACCACTCGTGCAGCTGCAGTGGGGGGAGAGGTTCCCGCCGTGACGAGGCACCCGTAGGACCTCCAACAGACACAGCACCTCTTGGCTTAGCACCCCCAGACTCAGAACCCCTAGGCTCCGCACGCTCAGGCTCAGCACACCCAGGCTCCGCACCCCCAGGCTCCGCACCCTCAGGCTCCGCACCCCCAGGCTCCGCACCCTCAGACTCAGCAACCCCAGGCTCAGCACCCCCAGGCTCCGCACGCTCAGGCTCAGCACCCCCAGACGCAGCACCTCTAGCAACACCCTCCCCAGCAGTACCAGAGTCGAGAGCTACCTCGACAGGCTCAGCCAAGGGGAGTGGGTCTACCTGAGACACACCTGAGGGAGCAGGACCCTGAGGGGGGAGGGGGTCTACCGGAGGTGGACCTGGTGCGAGGAAGACCGGCGGAGGGGGGAGAGGGGCAGTGCGGTAGGGGAAGAGACGGTAAAAGGGATTCGACTCATCAAACGTGACGTCCTGAGAGGGAAGGACACGGCGCGAGGTGGGGTGGTAAAACTGCTAGCCAGGAGCGTCAGGAAAGACGCAGGGAATGGCACGGGAGGAGAGCTTGTCCGCGGAAGTCTCGCGGAAAAAGGCACGAGAGCCCCAGACCCGGAACACCAACGCATCGCCAACCTCCCCCGTCCAACGCAGTGTAGGCAAGGTCTCCGGCAAGGAGACACGGGGCCAAAGGTTGAGCTCATGCGCAGCATACCGGACCGCAAACGGCCACAGAAAATGGGGAGAAGTCGCATGGATAATGGAGGTATGAGCGACTTCCATGACTAAGCCAATGCGGCGCTCAGCAACCCCATTCTGCTGCGGAGAGGCCGGAAGCGTGAAGGACTGGCGGATGCCCTCCCCACGACAAAAGTCTCGCAAGAGGTCGGAGGCAAACTCACCACCTTTGACAGAGTGCAGACGCAGGACAGGAAGGTCCGCATGGAACCGCTCGCGGAGCTGGAGACGGACAGCGCGGATCCAAGGGATCAATACATCAGGGACCTCCCCGTTGCTGCGCTTGGGGAAGACCGTGGTGTAACGCGAGTAGTCATCAACAACCAGCAGAAAGTATCGCTCGCGGCCCTGTCCACTGACGCGGGCTGGGCCCCACATGTCCATGTGGAGAGTCTGCAGGGGAGCAGTCGTCGGGGGAAATGAGGAGGAGTGAGGAGCGGCGCGCTGCCGCCCCTCGACACAGGGAAGGCAGGGAGGGGCAGGCGAGGGTGGGAGGGGAGGCAGAGACCTGGGAAGACCAGAAACAAGGAGGTGGGAGTGCATGCCACGGAGGCGTGGCAGGGAGGGGTGACCAAGGCGGTGGTGCCAAAGGAGAGTCTGGTGCGACAGGAGGCGACACGAACAGGGGGCTGCTAGCTGACCTGACGCGGACGCAGACGGAGCTACCTGAGGAGGCTCAGTAGGCAGTGTGTACAGACTCGACCTAGGCCGACGGGTGAACGTGGCCAGGTGACGGCCCGTCTGTGTACACGTGCAGATCGACACACGCTAAACCCCACGAGTGGTGTTAGTGACCATCGCATCCTAGAGGGCAGCGGTACTCACCAAGTTCGTAGAGAACGAGGGGAGGTGAAGACTTGAGAGTGAGCCGGACGGAACCGCCAGACACGGGAGAACAGTGGAGGAACGTGCAAGAACTGGGGCCCCTGAGGGGTCTGCTAGTCTGACTGCAATAGGTGAAGGGAGTGGTGTGACTGTGGTATTGTCGTGAAAGAAACAGCGGGAAGCACCTGAGTCAAGAGTGAAGGTTTGCAAGGCCTCAGTAGGCGCAGTACCAGGGAGAGCAGACTCACTAGCACCTAGAGCAGCAGCCTCTATACCTGGGTCGGGCGGCATACACAGGTAACAGTCACCCTCAGCAGTAACAGTCAAAGCATACATGGCAGTAAGGATAGCATCATAGTCAAGTCCAAAGATATCCACACCCTGCCTAAGCAGCTCTAGCCAACGGGGGAGCTCAGTCGCGTTGGGA